ATTTGTGTTCATTATCCTGGATTCTGATGGCTAAGACAGTAGTAGAGTAAGCAAATAATTCTGAAATCCTTCTTAGACACAAACTTAGCATCTGCTTTACGATTATACCCTCCCACCCCCTTTAATTTCAGTGATACAGAATTTATCAAGCCTTTGGTAAATTGCTGCAGTAGTTAATTACCTTCATTTATGAATCTGGACTTTTATCTTTATTCCCAGATGAGTCACTGAGAACACAGTGAAGCACAATGTAAAGTAATTACTACTACATTTATGGCTGTTGATACTCCTGGTAGCCATTTTCTGTCCTGACCCAAAAAGTTATTGCAGATAACACAAATGTTTTATGTACACTAAAATAATATGCTTTGCAGCATTTTAGCCTTCATTGTGATTTTCCTCTTTTTTGCAGTTAGCTCTTTGTTTATCTAGCCTTCTTCTTATTATAGGTTTGAGTGAGTCATAACTTGCATATCCTTTAATTGTAAATTACAGTAGGAGTACTCTGCCATTTAAAGCATTGAGAGATGATAGCTTCATGACACATGTAGATAAACTCACATTTGACCATTTGGCTGTTACATTACTGAATAAGGGTAATGACATTTTTTAATTAATTTAAGTAAAAGCTTTGAGAACAACATGATGAAAACCCCCAAGTACTGTGAGACAATAGCATATCTCATCTTCCCTGCCCCCATTTAATTTCTAATTTTACTAAACATGCCCAGACCGTAGCTTCTTGCATAGTTTCAATGATTGTGTATACGTATGTGAAGTTTATGTGCGGATCTGAATGGTGGGAGCCTTGGTATTTTAAGAATCCTCCTCCCAGGATCATAAGTATTCAGAAGGCTTCAGTTGGTTCTGAGGGTACAAAACCAGCCCTCTGTGGACTCTGATGCCGAGTGTGTGTTTGAAAGGAGAGCCAGAGGATTAGTGTTGGTAGTAGAAGAACAATACTGGAGTGATTACTATCGATGACCCCTGTAAATCCTAACACTTGCCTGGCTTATTTGTATTTTCATGCTGCTATGTTGGTGCTGCACTAAAAGCTGCAGTTGTTAATTGCAGGGCTTGTGGTGCCAGGATGCTTTCTAATATAATTGGTGGATTTCATGCACAAACTTCTAGGAGGGGGAGTGGAATGAGGAAGGCAGGAAATCAGTGCCATCTGGCAACCTGTGCAGACATGGAGACAGAGTATGCCACTGTGCGGAAAGAGCACCAGCATTACTAGAGGTGTGATTAAAAACTGCAGGTTGCAGTTGGGTGGTTCATTTGACAGGAGTTTAATATTCCCTCCCCCCCTTCTATTTTTTTTTTTCTTCCTTTGTGAGAAGTCCCACTCAAGAGTTTTGTTCTGGGCTTACACTAAAGAAATAATAACCTTTTCCCATTAAAAAAGCCCCCCAACAAACTCATGAGACAAGGTGAACAGGCATTGAGCCTTTGCTTTCTTTTCTTAACTGGTTGCCTTTCTGTTTGCCAGCTGATGCTTTACTGTAGGAAGCAGCACACTCACTGTTAGTAGTGAGCACTCACTAAATGGGCTTGTCTCTAAAAATGGAGTTTTGACCAGAAAAAATTTGGACCTTACAGTGAGCCAGAATATTCTAAAGTTGTTCCATTAATGCTTTGCAAAAATAAGTGAGACTCCAAGCGTCATTCCAAAGTTCAGGAACGACAGTAATGTTGGGGGGAGACTACAGATCCAGACTCAGAGTAGTTGTGTGAAGTGAAAATTGGTAATTATAAACTTGCTCACTGATGTAGCTGTATTTTAAAAGAGAATTCCAGCACAGTTACGGCAGCTCTGGGCTGCTATGAAACTGGAGATGGTTTATTTTTTTTTAATTAGAAAGGAAATATTTAGGTATTTTAATAGCTATGCAAGCTGTACTCTTTTTGTTATATAAACCCCTTTCTTTAAGAGGTAACTACTTGCAGCTCTCCGAACAAAGGAACTGTAATGTTATTAAACCTTTTCCCAGTTTTCCAGATGTACAGCTCTGGCTGTTATTGAAAGAACAAGCCCACAGGCTCTTCCTTTAATGAGCTGCTTTGGATTGTCCGTCCATAATTTATTAATGTAATTGCTTTATTATTACATTTGTATGGCTGAAAGGAAGCTGTCTCTAATGGCCACAGAATTTTGTGTAGTATCTTCATAAAAAGATGCGTTATTAGTTGGTGCGAAAAATACATGTTGACTATTTCAGGCTTTGTTTTAAAAGTACTTCTTTATTAGCATTTCACATCTAATTATTTTTAATTTTTACATGGTAATTAGGTATATGTCGGATGAGAATGGATATGGATTTGAATTTGCAGTGTATAGGTAGTATGGATGTAATTGATTTGTTGCACAGTCAATATTCTTTAACTGCCAATTTATGTGCAGTATATCTGAAATCGCAAATGGGGATTACTTGGGTGTATTTTTACTCTTCTAAACTAGAAATGCATTATAATGTAAAATGGTATCATGTGGAATGAGATGATAAATCCTTTTGATCTAGTTTTAAGTTTTCTCATTTAGTAAAGAGGTGTCATAAAAATGGTTTTCCAGTTATCCTTAGTTCAGTGTCCATTTGCTTTCTTTAAATATTTTTGTGGTATATTTTAACATTATTAAAGATATGCCTACGTATAGTGAACATAACCTGAAGAAGGAGTTCAGCAACCCTTTTATGGTGACACTGGCAGAGGGCAGGTATTTCAGGTACTCTGTGTGTGTGTTTAGTCCACTTTTGTATCGTTTAAGTACTGTGAAGATGTCACTGCTTTGTCATCGACAATGTGCCTAACCCTACAGATGCCAGGATATAAAAATTATCCCTCTGCAAGGCAGAATGAAGGAATTTGTCCTCCTTTGTGTACCCATACGTTAGCTTACCTTTATGCAGAATGCTGGTTTTGATTGAGTTGAGAAATATCGCGTCGCTGCTTCCCACTTCTGCTGCATAAATCTCTGTTAACCTAGACGATTTTGACAGGTGCCAGTCAGTGGTCTAGGAGTGGAGGACAAGCCCCCTCATCTCCAAACTATGAAAACTCTCTACACTCCTTGGTAAGAGTTGTTGAAAGCAACACCGTACTTTTTACTTAAGAGCTGAAGGCTTGGTTTTGTATAAATCCTGCATATCATTAAAGGAAACAGTAGGATAGCATTACAAATGAATTCTTTGCTAACAAATGGCCTGTTCAGTTGAACAATATAAGACGTGCAGGGTGTGTCTTTCACCATCTGTTCCTTGGGCATCAGGCTTCTGTGCTGAGGACAGCTGGTGCTAAAGCGCTGTTATGAGATTCTGGTACCTTTTCACAAATCCATAGCTAATTCTTATCTAAAGTTCAGTCTGGAGGAAAGATAAAGACTTCATGCCTTTGCATTTACTTGTCCTTCCCCTCCCTCCCTGAAATGGTAGCCTCTTGGGCTTGCCTTCACTACGCTTGTCATTAAAGTACTAATATATTGTATTTATAATTGTTATTTGTTATTGGGGAGTGTTCGTTTATTAATTAATGAAACGTTTTACAGAAAAAGACCTGGGAAATCATCTACAGCATTATAAATTTTCTTCCTTCGAAGATGCAGCAGAGGATTTAAGTTACTGACTTCTTTCTTAAATTCCTGAGACAGGATCGGGAAGGAAAAGGGAAAAATTTGAGGGGAGGCTTTGATTACCTGTTAATATTTCTAGTTTCCACAGGTGAAATTTCGTTTTTCTGTCTAACAAGAACAAGTTTAAGCCAAATCCGTTTTCTTCAATATTTTTGCAATTAAGTATAATTGTTACATACATCTTAAAATCCTAACAAAACTGCAGTGTTAAATATTAGCCTTTTCTTATCTTAATATAATCAGATCTCTGTTGCATTAACTTCACTAACAATTTATTGCTGACATGCACATCAGCTGTTTCCTCACCTCTTTTTTGAATTAATCTTAACCTGTGCTTTGCTTCCTGTTCTGTCTTGACTTTGCCAGAAAAATCGAGTTGAACAGCAACTTCACGAGCATTTGCAAGATGCAATGTCCTTCTTAAAGGATGTCTGTGAGGTACTATTTCACTTTAGATGGTGCCTTTTTGTGTTTCAATTAATGCTTCCTTCAGATTCCCCATTAAAAACTTAAATTAGCATAGCATATGACCCATCTTCTGACTCCAACATCCTGCCATTTCAGTTTCTGGAGAGCTGCAGTGTCAGAATTGGTTTTGCTTTGGGGTTTTTTGGTCTCCTTTTTTTTTAAAAAAGGAAAGTAATTTAAAGACAGACTCTTCTGCAGTAACATACAGAATTCACTTTTATTTCTGCAGTAGCTGATGTGTTTAAAGCTCCACTTTAGAAAATGATAGCTCAAAGTTTTGTCCAGGTTTTTTGTAATACAGGTTCTCAAAAAGCCACTGCCTCTCTTTATTGTTACCAACGCGGTGAGGCTGATTTTATGATCATTCTTTCTCATCCTTTATTAGCTTATTTTGTAGCACTTCCTTTTTTCTTTGTTCATGCCATGTAATAGAAGCTGAGTAACATTAACCTTGTAATAAGATTCACTTTAAAAGCTACCACCTATTTGTGGAATGAATGCTATCTTGAGCAAAATCTCCAGATATCTTTTCTTTTTCCTGTTTGTTGTAGTGCTGGTAGGTGCTTTCAAAGTCTTTGATATATGCATTTCATCTTCTGTCTTTAATATCTCTGAGGTAGAAACTACTGCGGTATAATGAGTATGCAGGTTTATTCAGTAATAGCTGCTCCTGTCCCTCTTAAATTCTAACAGCAGTCTCGAATGGAGGATCGCTTGGACAGACTTGATGATGCCATCCATGTACTACGAAATCATGCCGTGGGGCCTTCAACAAGCCTGTCAGGTGGCCATGGAGATATACACAGTTTATTGGGACCATCCCACAATGGGCCAATTGGAAGCCTGAACTCAAACTATGGAGCATCTAGCCTTGTGACAACCAACAGACAAGCGTCAATGGTAATGGTATTTTTAAATGTGTATTTTTATGTATAACAGCTTCAGCTGATGCATTTGACTTAGCGCAGAGCCTAGTGAGTTACAACTGGAGTGTAAGGCCAACATTTATCAGGAAGAAACTACTTGAGGTTCCTGCGGAGGAAAAAGTGGCAGACAGCTTGCACCTGCTATGGGTTTCCAATTAGAGGGTTAGGGTGGGGGTAGAAATGAGAGGGAGGAGAAAGATGGGAAAACTTAAACTTGGGCCTGGTCAGTGGCCCATAAAATCCTGCTGTGACCATATGCAGAAAGCTGAAACTTTCTGCTGAGAGCATTTCAGCTTATACATGCATTTTTTCCAGATGTGTAATAATTGGCAGAACAGTTTTCTCCTTGAAATGGTGAATAGGGAGATTGAATGGGAAAAGCAGTCAAGAAGGACTGAATTTCAAGTGTTCTGGTCTGGAAAAGCTGTTTATTGTAAATTGGAACTAGTCTTCAATAGCAGATGCTGGCAGAGGACTGGGAGGAAGCTGTTGGAATGTGGAACCATGGTGTGCGCAGGCTCAAAATGTAAACTTTTTTTTCTAAATGAAAAGGAGTTTGAGCACAGCTGTAGTGCGAGTAACAATGAAGAGGAAACAACTTTTAGATTAATCCCCAAGAAGAGTGAAATAATTCAATCCGTCTCTTTTAGTTTCTTTAAAAAAGTGAACTGTTCTGAAAAAATGTAGTTGAGCTTTTTATAGATCAGAAGTATGTTAAAAGCATTAGACAGTAAACGAAATCTATTTGTAGCATTGCTTACCTCCCTTTTTCTTCCTTTGCATTCCTCCCTTCTCAAGCACGCTTAAAGGAAAAAGGGCTTTTTAAAACATGCTTATTTTAGTGGTGCCATGTGTTTGCATGTTTACAGCGTGATTTTAAAGACCAGTTACATGCTGTGAAATTTTCTGTCATAAAACAGATTCACAGCTGGGCACTGTGTGATCAAGGCAAAACTTCACCTATCATCAAAATAATTAGGTACCCCAATTGCTGAAGGGTTTGTATTCTATAAAACTGAATTAGTTCCAGGCTCTCCCATTCGCACGTCACACATCCATTTTTATTAATTTCAGAACCACTGCAGTAGACATCAAAAAGAACTGGTTACTTTCTATAAGCTGCGTGTGTTTGGGGGCTTTTCGGGGGGGAGTGCTTTCCAACACATACCCAGCTTTAGGTTTCTGTACAACAGTTAGTAATGAAGGAAGTGATGCATAAATACTTCAGAATTTTTTCTGAATACTGCCTCATATTTAAAGAATGCTGTTAAAAGGGAATGTTCTGCCGTAGTCTGGGGTAGACTGCAGTCTAGTTATACAAAAGAAAACTTGTTTTTTGCTCAGTCTTAATGACGTGGGGTAGAGTGACTGAAATTGCAGTGGCAGAATTGTTCTCTCTCTGTCTTGTGGAACCTTCTGGTGCTGCTAAGCCAGATCCAGTCAAATGCAGATAGTGTTGCAGTGTACACAGAAATCTGTTTCTCTTTTAAACTAAGCTATGATAAATATTTTATCAGCTTGGTTTTGATTGAAATAGGTGGCGGTGGAAGATGACTCCCCAAAATGAATTCCTTGGTCTGCTCTAGTTTGATGTAGTTGTGTAACTTAAACGTAATCTAGACTTGAGTTGCCACCTAATGATTGATTGACCTGCTGCTTCAATTGAAAGATGCTTGCTCTCTGTTAAAAAAAAACCCTTAGATTAGGAAAATGAAAAAAAAAAACAAAACACCAAAACCCAAACCATCACTTGCTTTTGTATTTCATCTGGCTGGGTGAAGCAAGCCTGCAGATCAGTTTTGCTTGAATAGTGAGTCAGCTAAAGAATTCCTTGGATTAACCCTAATTTTGTTACATCAGAATAATTGGCTCCAACAGAAAGCATCCTGTTGTGGCCTTGACCAGTCCCCAGCGAGTGCCCTTTGCCATCATTTGCAGTCGCAGGCACTCAGCATGGCTTAGGATGGAGCCTGAAAGATGAACAGAGCAGGGGCTGGGCTGGCCTTTCTGGCTGTAGTGGAAACTGAGCGGTGTTAGTTAATGACGACTGCATTGCAGTAGTGCCCCCCACTTAAGAGGCGCAATTCTTGCGTTATTCAGTAATCAGTTAATTTCAACCTATACTTACTTACCATTTGTATTTCTTGAAATCGTAAGTGCAGGGGAACAGAGGATTTGACACCACCTGAACCGTAAGCTCTAGGCTTTGTTCAGAAATTAAAGAGTGCTGTACTTCAGAGAGCCTCCAGTAAATTTTAAGAAAATAATGTATTGGCTCTCACGGTGTGAAATGTGAACATCAGTGCAGGTGTTTACCTGGTTTTGTTTGACGTGTTCAGAAGGGGTTTAAGTCAAGAAACGTTCATTGGGATTCAGCACTGAACGAAACTTCCTTCTTGGGGGAGGGAGGCGGGGGTGTCTCTTCATACAAAACATTTTTTCTCTGTAGGAAAAAAAATAGAAGTTAAATTTAATTTCCCTTGAAGATGATGATCTTGGCAGAAGGAGCTAGGAAATGAGTAATTTAACTCCTTTTTATGTAATTAGTGTAACCAGACATGGTTTTATTTTAACATTTGCTTAATTTTTGAGCCAGATTTATTTTAAAACTCTAGTTGACTTCATTTCCTGCTCGCTCTGAATGGTCTTGTTTTCTTTTTAGCTGGGCTGGCCATTAGACTTATTCAAATAGATTTTTAATATCTCAAACTCATCAAATATTTGCTAAGTGGCCTTTGAAGTTGATTTGTATTTTATTTCATGTATTATTGAAAAGTTAAGAAGTAATACTCTTTTTGTTCTTATTCAAGCTGCTTTTTATTTGTCATTGAAGTACAATGGAAAAAGAACAGCCTGAATTGATTAAAAATAAATAAATAAAAGGCCTGGAAATGCGGTTAAGGATGAAACTCAATCCTGAAGTCACAGGGTTTTTTCCAGGTATAACAGGGATCCAAGGGAACTGGACAGTCTCCCCTTCTTACCCTGTGTCTGCTGTGCTGTAAGGGCAGGACAGGGCAGCAGGAGCTGCTTGGCCAGCACCACTGCTCTTGCGCAAAGCCCTTCCAGGCGCTGTGTTTCCAAGCAGAGCCGATGCTCGCACTGAGCCGCTCTGAGCTGTCCCAAGTGTAAACATCTTGATTCCAAAGCCCTCTTCATTGTCTTAACTGTGTTCACCTCGGTTAAAATTGTATTACTGGTCAGCTGGCACGGCTTGAGAAGTGCTTGTGTTCTGACACGTGCTTAGGTAAGTCCTGCAGCAAATACAAGCAAAGACTGGTTTGTGGGGAGGTTTTTCAGCTCTCAAAAGCTTTTATTGCCACGAGTTCAAAACTAATAACGAAACTGAAGTGTGAGATGCAGGCCCCGCGTTCGCAGAGCAAAGGTCCTTCCTCTCGCCACGTGTGGCTCCGGGCCGGCTCCCCACATGTGCAGCACTGTGCTGCCAGTTGCCACGATCCGTCTGGTTTGTGTTCAGTTGCCAGAAATACTGCGCTGCTTTCCTAGTTTCAGCTCCCAAACGTTACCACTTAAGCGGACGGAGTGAGCTCGGCACTCACGGTTTGTTCAAACGCACAACTCGGCGCGGCTGCGGACTGCCCTCTGCGCGAGCCTCCTGAGCCGCGGGACCTCAGTTCTCGCGGTGAATGAGGCAGTGCGGAGCCGGGACCGGGCAGGACTTTGGGCCGTCCCTTCGCTAAACGTAACCCGTTTGATTTGCCGGGAGCCCGCCACGCTCGTTGCTGTGGCAGCGCAGGCAGGCTGCCCGGCGGTGGCTGGTTCCGGTGCGGGTTTAGCAGGCGGTGTGTGCCGGCACGCCGCGGCTCCCCCCCCAAACCCCGGCTGCCATTTCGCGGCCCCGCGCCGGGCCCAGCTTTACCTCAGAGCGGCCCCTCGGCGGGCTCAGCCCTCCCGCCTTTGTCGCGGGCGGGGGCGGGGCCGAGGCGCCCAGCTGTATGCTAATGCGGGCAGCGCGCGCCGCCCCGCCCCGCGCAGCTGGCGGGTGCCCCGGGAACGGGGGAGGGGGCACCGCGGTGCCGGGAAGCGGCTGGGCTGGGGGTCGGCGGCAGCGGTGACTGCGAGAGGGGGCTGTGCTGCGGCACAGGGCGCCGGCGCGGCGGTGAGGTGCAGAGGGACGGAGCCTGTCCTGGGAACGGCAAACCCGGTTCTCTGAGCTCGGCGTTCAGGAGACTTAAGGTCCAGCTGGGTGCCTTGAAGCAGGCCCCGGTTTGCTGTGCTTACAGGAAACAGCTCTGGGCCTTCGCGTGGGGTACGGGGGCGTTCAGCAAGCCTCCTGCTTTAGGGATTGTTTGGATTTTCTAGCACATCGCAGATCAGAGATGAGCGCTCATGACGTGGTCGGGTTTGTGACACCTGGCTCTTCAGATTTCTGTATCGGTCTTGTTGATCTAAGTTGTATGCTTTGATTTTGTAAACCTGTTTCAAAGGACTGGAACATGGACTTGAATTCAGCTTTTATTCCCGGTCTGTTTCCTGCCTGTATCAGAACTGATGTGCTTATCTCTCATGTCTAGATTAGCACTAGATCTGGAAGTTGCCGGGGTTCTGGCAGCTGCTTCGTTTGGACACAGCTTTAAGAATTGTAACCTTTTGTAAGAAGTAGTTTTGGAACAGACTTGGCCCTGAAGTGATTCACAGTCCGTACTTTGAATAAAAGCACCCTCATGCGTTAGGACTTAGCATGAGCAGAAGAACAAAATCACGGGCACAACCTGCAGGGCAGAATTAGGGGAAGACTCGGGTTTGGAAGTGCTCTGTGCAGAGCAAGCCTCACGTTCCTGTTGTACGAGTTTTGTCTCATAGGCTGGAAGACACTGGCTCTGCTCTTTGCTCCCAGTGAACTCTCAAGCACCGCAGGAGCTGAGATGACTGCATCCATAGTGGAACTTCTCACAGACAAAGCCTATTACACACACAGGAAGATAAAACACATTTTAAATAGCAACAGATATCCCTCAGTATACAAGAGATTTTCTGCAGAACAATAGATACGGATACCAGCCCGGAATGACCTGATATTAGTTAAGGGGGGGGGGGGGGGGGGTGTTCCCCCTTTCCTTTCTTGTTCCTGTGTGTTAGCTTACAGGAACGAGTATGTATTAAACAAAGGATAAACTTGCATAAGGGTATTTATCTCTCTCTGGGTAAAACCCATACTAAGACATGAAAGGTAGAAGCTGCATTAATTACTCAAGAGGGATTCAAAGCTCAGCAGTTTACTAGGATTGAAGGATTTATTGAAAAACAGTGGTTCTCATGTGTAACTCCAGGCAATAAACCTATTTAATTAAAGGCTTAATCTTCTAGTTGACATGTTTGCTACTGTTCCAGTAAAAAGCTTCATCTGTAGCCAGTTTTTGTAACTATATAAATAATAGTAGAATCCTCAGCTTTGTTAGGGTTTTGGTTTTTTTTTAACTGTAAAATTGTATTGTGGTTGTATTATAAATATTTAAAGGACTTTTGTGTCTTTAGGAATCAAAAGCTTTAAATAGTCCGCATTCCAGATTATTTAAATACAGGCAGTGTGTCTGTACCTTTTCCTTTCTCAAACAAAAGAATATGACTTTATAGAGGTTCGCATTAATAACAGTGTTCTGTCTTGAGCAGAGTTTTTAACAGATTTGCCTGTTCAAGCTGGGCACGGGCACTCATCGCTGTCTTGGCATAAGTACTGTTAATCCAAGTTTATGCTTCCTCTCGGTGCTTGCTGCTTGGAAATTTGATCATGATGTATCATGAAGGAGCAGATCAGAAAATACTGAGAGGTGGTAGGAGCAGTTAGATGCCTGGGTTATTTTTGCATGATAAGATTCTGTAATGGGACTAAGATAAATGTATTTAGCTAAGAAAGGAGGAAAATGAGAGGGAATTATTAAAGTGAACAAAACAGTATTTTGATATTAGATCCAGTTCTGCCTTAATCCTGTTTCAGCACAAGTGAGGAGATGCTATTTATACATGTGCATGTCTGTGTATGTGAGCATAGGGCAGTATACACACCTTACACATGGGGTGAAGACGATTATTCCCCACGATTTAAGGATCACAGTGTTACATGTACTGGAGTTGCTAGTTGAATTAGTTTAAACAATCAAAGGTTAATCAAGTCTTACACCCCTCGGGTATAAATCAAGGAGAAAACTCTGTAGTGTTGTGTGGGAAAGTAGTGAAAAACCTTGTTGCTAGGTTGCTGTGTTATTCCAAACAGGTGTTGGTCACTGCTTTGCTTGAAATACAGCTTAATCCTGTGTGGTGTGATCAAGTGGTGTAGTGTAATAGCATCTTCCAACTAAATCTTTCCTTTACCAAGCTAGAACTTTAACTTGGGTTTGTAATCCAGCAAATATTTTGTCTTTTAAACTTCTGTATCTGGACTGTTTCTTTTTCTTTAAAGCGTATCTTTAATGGAAATGTTTGCTTTGCTTTGCTTTAGGTTGGGGCTCATCGGGAAGAAAGTGTCAGCCTCAGCAGCAACCATTCAGTTCTTCCCAGTGCAGTTTCTGCTCAGAGCACAGAACTAAATCATAAAACACAAGAAAGCTACAGAGGTAACTTCCCAGTGATTTTAAATGGGGTCTGCAGTAATCCAGAGCCAGTGAGGCTGTAAATCTTGGTAAAATTGCATCAGCACAGGGAATAGAGACATAGATGATGTTGAGAAATAAGAAATTAATTGTAAATACTGTAAAATGCTGCTGTGAAGGATCCCTGCAACAGTTTTCAGGGCATCCCTGTGTCAGACTTGACCCACTATAGTTCCAGCAGAAGACTCTGCATTACAGCCATGTTCTCTTGGCTGAAGGAGCCGTAATGGCATTTGCAGTACGGCAGCCATTTCCGAATCGGCAGGAAGGGCTGCAGAGTGAGCTGAAGGCAGATTTCAGTCTAGCTAATAAAAAGAAATCCTTCCATACAGGTGTTAATGGTTCCCTCTGTTAAAGGTTCCCTCAATTTTTAGCTTGAAGTAGTAAGCTATGGAAGACACAAGTCAGCTTACTCGTTAGCATGCTTGCACCATTTAGAGAGGTGCGTGTTGCACGTTTGATCTAAGCCCAAGCCTTGATGTCAGTGCAGCTCTGCCCTAAAATATGCAGCCCAGACATAAGGTGCAAGTTTCCTTACTTCACTGAAGTCCTATTGTCTTTAACAGTGCTTTTCTTAGGTGAAGCTGTTACTGATCAAGCTGCTCTGAGTTATGATCCCTTTACAACCCCTGACACATGCCCAATTACATCAGTGTTACCAGGATTTCTCTTGCTGTTGCCAGAGTATAGTTCCTACTGTCGTCTTCCCAGACTCTGTCCTTAGCTCTGGCCTCCCATTGACAATATCTGCTTGAGATTCTCTTTGGTATTTCATGCCTGTGATACTCACACTGCTCTCTGGTTGCCTGCAGCATTGTCAGGTGGCTTACAGAGCCAGTCTGTGGCTATAGGTCCAACAGAAATCAAGTCTGAACATAAGGAGAAGGATGAAAATA